TTTTATTATATCTTAATACTCACTGAATAACTTCAAGGTTCAATGCCTCTAACAATGACCTCCTACAACTATCTAATGTGACATAAGAACACTACACAGGTGAGAAAGTCTCCACAGGACTAAGTATCAGAGAAAGTCACAACTATGCCGACAACCTAGACACCAGCGCTGCATCCATGTGGGGGCCTTGGTCCTCAGGGGAGGCGAAGCAGCCATCTGGGCCACAGCCACCTCCTTCTTCAGGCTCCACAGGAATTTCCCATTGGTGTGGCCCCGATTGCAAAAGAACTGGCAGTGGGGCTAACAGGCTTGGCTTCTTACCCAGGAGTGGCCTTTTGATAGGCATGGCAGGAGGGCATGCCAGAGGAGCAGGCCTCTTAGAGGGGCGTGGCTGAAGCAGGGGAGGGGAAAGCAGACCTTTGAGGTTGACCAGTCCTGGGAGGGACTTGACAGTCCTAAGAGGAGCACCAAGGGAGGATGGGGGTGGGGGGTTAGGAGCTGGCCGTAGGGGAGGAGGTTTGCTCACAACAGGGGTGAACCTGCCCTGAAATGAAGCAGAATTGCTGTTGGCTGATGGGTCCAGCGTCTCGCAGCCCTGCAGTTGTTCTTTCCTGGTCTTTATGCAGTCAATGAGCAGGTCCAGTTCATCACTGTACAAATGCTTCCCCTCACTCAGTAGGAAAATAAGATGGCAAATACCAGAAGGCAGAGAGTAACTGGCTAGGTGCTCCCAAGCCAGAAAGTCATCCACCAGCTCAGCAGCCCTCTGAGAAATTCCAGTACTTTGTTCAGTGAAAAATTTCCTCAATTCTTTAATCACCAGCACCGCACTAGTGCATCCTCCAGGGGCATATGGCGATATATTTTGACAGATTCATGAAGCATGATTACAGTACAAGAGGAATGCTTCACACTGGACTGCTCCACGAGAATGCAAAAGGGGGAACCATCGTCTTTAACACCCTGCAGCGCACGATGAGGCCTGATTCAGAGACAAGGTGAATTGTCTCTACCATAAGACCAAAATCCTGCAAGCTGCGGCCTATGGATGTGGCATAATCCCTCTGGTCTATGTCCATAGAGACAATAACTCAATCCGAAGGCTTCTCACGATCCCATGCTTTCTGAAGCACTTGGTAGAAGTGCTGGAAAAGCTCTTCTTTTTGAGTGTCCCTGCTGTTGGCAAGATCTAGCTGAAAGTACGGGCATCGTTCATGGTTATCTTCACTCCCTTTCGAATAATCAGCCACGTTCCCCCATAATTTTCCTGGGTATACACACAGAGGACTTTATAGCCTACTACAGAGATACTGGCACATCTATGTTCAATGCTACTCTATTCACAATAGCTAGAAAATGGAATTAGTCTAAATGTCCATCAACTGCTGAATGGATAATGAAAATGTGGTACGTATACTCAACTGAATTTTATTCAGCCATAAAGACAAATGAAATCACAAAATTAGCATGAAAATGGTTGGAACTGGAAAATATTATGCTAAGTGGGGTCACCCAGGTGTGGAAAGACAAACACTGAATGTTGTTTCTCATATGTGGATCTTAGCTTTGAATTTTTAGATCTGTGTGTCTAATTTGTAGTGTCTATAGAGGTCAGGAAGTTAGAAAGGGCCCATGAGAGGAGGAGGTGAAGAGGGTTTAAGGGGTGAGGTGGTGGTAAACCACACAGAATATGAAAGTAGGAGGAATACTGAGTGTTAAAGGTTTAAGTAGGGATGGGGGCAGGGGATGGAGGGGGAGTGGGAAGAGGTAGGTTAACCTAAACTAAAGATGTATGAAAAGGCCTTATGTAAACTCACTACTTTGTAAGCTAATTTTAAAATAAAATCTTAAAAGGGGGCTAGAGAGAAGGCTCCCTGGGTAAGAGCACTGGCTGCTCTTACAGAGGAGCTGAGTTCCGTTTGCAGCACCCACATGGCAGCTAACAACTGTCTGAACCTCTTGTTCCAGGGGATCCAATGCCCTCTTCTGACCTCTGTGGGCATTGCATGACACAGGTGCACTTACATGCAGGCAATACACTCATACTCATAAAATAAAAA